AAATGCAAAGCCATAGTTTACTTTTCTCCAACACCAATTAGAGCGTAGGGATTGTATGAATTTCACAGGATAGGCATTTTAGCTATAGACATAAGGTAATTGGGAGCACTGAAGTGGCTTACAAGAGAGGTAACTTGCCAGACACGAGAATTTTGAATCACCTGTCCCAATTTGTTGCCACCCATAGACTGCATAACGGTCACGTGCGGATTATCGGTCCATGTGACCACATTTGAAGAGTATTGTCTGGACATCACATCCCAATGCAGACGTGCTGTGAAGAGAAGATTGCAAGCAATAGATGTGCCAGTGGCAGCGGCAGAGGAAATCGTGTGAATGAAGGTGCTGTGGATGGAAAAACCACAAAACTTCGGGACTCCATTCATAAGCAGTGCACCACTGAAAAGAAGAACGTTAGCCGTATTGTCACCTCTCCAAAGTCATCGGGATCCATGGCCGCGACGAAACGGACCTCCATTGTCATCACTCCTATTTCTACGCCCGAGTTTTTCCGCAGCATTAGCGGTCGAGTGGGACTGTCCGGCATGAATTCCACAACCAGTGGTGCTCCAAAGGCTCTACCGAAGAGACCACTTCCGTCGTCACATCCAATATCACCGTCACACCCACAACCTCGCCTACGTGCAAGCACACAAGCACGTAAAGTTTCTAAGAACGCCTCGGCATGCAGCGCCCTGCACCCTCGGCCCCAGGCGATTTTACGAAATAACAAGAAGGTCGATTCATCCTTTAACCATGTTAAGGTCAATCTAGGGAAATCTCACATTACTATTACTACCCGTCAACCAAGGTGTGCAGCACAAGCCACAGGTTCACCCACAGCTCCCCACAGTTGGATATACCTCCTGAGAGAATAACTGCTCCATGGTCACCCTACTTGCCAGACACAGCTAGCAACCACAAAACACTTGGCAGTCATTGCAATGGATTCCGTTCAGAGTGCTGTGCACTTCCAAAGACGCAAAAACAGCGAGTGACCTCCTTAACTGTTAAAAG